CCAGATAATCGCTGTATTCAACAGGAGGTTGAACTAAGGAATACATGGGTTTTCCTACAGTATATATAGTAACTGGTATAGGGGTTAATACCCAAAGAAGAGAACAATAAGAAAGGACACGTAAGCTATCCTGTGAGAATGTAACTCAGAGAAATGAGAAATACAAGGGTGCCCATTGGTAGAAGGTGAGTCAAGGGAGATAACGTGTGAGAAGAAGATAGCGTCCATGGGAAGGTCTACTCAGAGAAAGGTACTGTCCAATAGCAATGCTCGGAATGGAAATATAATGAGATAAGCATGGGAAAATCATAACATTATCCCCTTCCTATGGTCGAAGTTTACCCAAACTTCCTAGTCATGACCGGTTACCGAACTGTCCAGGTCCACAAGAGTGCCATCATCGTAGTCTTGCTCTTCGGTGGCTTCTTGGATAGCATTGTCCCAAACAGTTTGTTGAGGACAGGCAGATGGATAATGCCCTGGTTGAGTGCGTCCACAGATGCGGCAGCGGAAAAGTCGGCAATGAGATTGGAAATGACCAGGGTGCTGACATACCCAGCAGATATTGCCATATCTTCCTGTCATGTTGGTAGGCAACGCTGGACCGTTGACGTCAATGGGGTTTTCTCGGGATCCAGTTGGATGGATAATTGGATCAGGGGTTGGATGACAAGAGGTCGAATGGGAAGTCACTGGGGTGGTCTCCTGGTTGGGTGGGGGATTCTGATAGTCGACGGGTAGGAAGTAGCAAAGGAGAATGAGTAGTCCTCGATGCAGGAGGATATGGGTGAGCTGCGCTGAAGTGCGCTCCACGGTGTCATAAGTGGATTGGAGTAGACTTGGGGGGAGTGGGCCAATGCTGTGCATGGCTGGTTACAAGTCCTGAGCTGGGCATAAGATACTTCCTATTTTACACTGTATATCATAGAGCTGACACAAATATTCCTATCTTTCTTGAAGTGTTATTTGAATTTCACTAGACCTCTCAGAATCATCTTGTATATTCCTTGATTTGCTATAGAGCTCTGAATATATTATGGATTTCCCGCATTTTTCACAAATTTTCTGGCCCTTCTACAGCCTGCAATCAATTCCAGATACCAATGATGTAATGGCTCTGCAGATCGGGTGAACCTGCAGAGAGCCTATGTCATAGAAGGCAGGAGCCAATCAGAGTCCAGGAATCCAAACCGACGCGGCCTGCACCTCAGCCACTGACTACAAGCCACTACAATAGTCAATTCCCACGATAAGCAATAAAAGTAAAACCGCCATGCGGACTAGGACAAGACACACAATCGATAAATTCACACAAATATTGTTGTAGACCCGTATAGCATACGCACCAGACTAGAGAAAATAAAAGAGAGATAAGACGAAGAATAGAGCCCACAAATGAGCAAACAATGGTCCCAGAGACTACAAAAATGCGCCAAAAGTGGTTTTGTGGTCTCACATACAACCAGACTTCCAATCGGAGTTTCACAAATGTAGTCTGCAATACAAAACATAACTCCCATGACGTCTTGGCACAAACGGTTCTCACGGAGTGCAACGTTCGGCACGCAGGCATATTTTGCGCGTAAGGACTCGACCTTCGTACCTCAGGACTCGTAATCTTGTATTTGTGCGTTCAGGTCGCATAACTTGGAGATTGTTTGAAGATCATCCTCTAGTTCCAATATTTCCCTGGCAACACCTGCCCCCAGTGCATCTCGTCCTAGTCGACGTCGAAGGGATGGGTTGTGGTAGTGTTCCGTCAAGGTTTGGTGGATGATACTGATAAAGTGGGGGTCCTGATCACAGGGGTAATTGCGAGGAGGACGTTGAGAAGAGGTGAAGGTGCACAAATCATTCCATGAGCGAGACATGGTATGAGTTGCTGGTGAGTTCTGCTAGAGATGGTTCTGGCTTTTATATTCTTGAAGTAGGCTCTTGGTGTTCTCAAGCACATGCTTGGGTTCCCATGAATTTTTGGCCGACGGGTACCCTTTCCATTTGACAAGGTACTTGCGGCATGAATTGCTCCCACGATGGGCTAAGATGGCCTCAACTTCGTACTCTTCTTCGCCTTCGATATCATCAGGTGGAGGTCGGAGATAGTTCGGCCCGTGAGTGGAGTTCTCTCGATAATGTGAAAGGAGCGAGGGATGAAACATGGGGTGAATCTTCCAGGATTTGGGTAAGTCTAGATGGTACAAGAGTGGGCCTAGAACTTTCTTGATCTTGAATGGTCCTTCGCGTTTTGGGGCAATCTTCCTGGATGGGTAATTGATCCGTAGGTTCTTGCCTTCTAGCCAAACCTTCTCTCCAACTTCGAATGGGGTGAATCCTTGTCAGCTTCTATCGATCATCTTCTGTCTCGCCAATTCGTGCATGGCGATCGCTTCTTCCCTTGCAGCTTGTAATCGTTTAAGCCTTTCCTCTACTGATGGTAGCTCTGTATTGATTGTGACTGCAGGTATTGCTTGCGGATGATAACCCATCATGAGGTAGAAAGGCGATTCGTTCCTGGCTGAATGGGATCACTGATTGTGAGCAAATTCCGCATCAGAGAGTACTTCAGCCCATCCGTTGGGATTGTTGGCGCAGAATATCCGCAGATAGGTTTCCAGTTCTTGGTTGACCCTCTCAGTTTCGCCATCAGTTTGAGGGTGATAAGCGGTGCTGAGCTTGGATTTGATGCCTAGCAGCTTGCATGTTTCTTGGAATACCTTTGACGCAA